ATAAGAGACAGGTTTTTTAAAGGATGGTTCAAGAATTATTTACTAAGCTGCATTTCTATTTTAGCTTACAAACCTATTTAAAATTTAAATTAACTTTAAATGTCACTGAGAATATAATTATAGCAAATACCTGTTTCTAAAAAAATTATAGTTTAATAATATTAGAAAACAATTACTAATTAAGACATCAATGTCATTCAGAAACGCCTTTGTCCTGGTCCCACTATGCATTACATATTTATGATCCGCAATACAAAGGTATTATACCAAGTAATAATCCATGATTTAACAACGGAAATAACAACATCCACAACCACAGAGAATATGCTGATCAGTAATTTTGATTTCCAACATCGACCTCCATCTATACTAAGACAATGATATCAATGCACCCTCTTGTGTTATATTTGTTGATCTCTTGGCTTCTGGCTGGAAGATTCAGTGACTGATTTCTACATTTGATCTTGTGCTATAAGGTAATGCTGCCCTGAAGAATATCAGGTTGCATGTTGGTCTCAGAAAAATCAATTTATAAAGAGCTTTGATAGTAGTAGGTCATCAATCATCTTCTTGGACATATGTTGATGGAAAATAACCTTCCTGAATTGACAAGCAAAAAAAAATTGAAATTTAACAATGGTTAATGCTTGATACAGAATCTTTTAAGTACAGTTACAAAAAAAAAATTAAAGCCAGGAGTGTCCAGAGGAAACATTTTTGTTTATACGTTGTAAAACTGATTTTTCTAAGACACAAAAATCTTATTTGACACATTTTTGAATATTTAAAAACACCCCTTTTCCCCAGTTTCAAAAATCTGTATCTAATAACCACTTTCAAGTTTTTGCATCAAATATTATTTTTGTGTCTTAATAAATACAGTTATACAACATATCAAACAGAGCTTGGCTTAAAAAAAAATATCACTAAATAAGTAAAACAAATTTATGTGACAGGATCTCACCTAAATTTGTCAGAAAAAAAATCTAAATTGAGTTTTTGATATTATTCTTTAAGTACAGTATTACTCTTGAAAATATTTTTTATTTGATAAACTGATTAAGTATTAGTGAAGTTATAAATATTTAATTTCTTGGATATCTGTTGGTTTTGAGAAGATTCTAAAATCAGTAGTTTAATATTCAAATTTAAAAATAATTTTAATATATTTTTTTATTAGATTTATTAGGTTTGTGTGCCGACTTCATTAAAAGAGTCGGTGTACAATTAATTTCCTAGACACTTCCAAAGATCAGCATGCATGTATGAAGAAAACTTAAGGGTGGTAGGGCACAGTTCTCCAGTCTCTCGAATTTTGAGTTCCAAATTTGTTAGAACGTGTCATGAAAAAAATTTGCTTGGATGATGTTGGCATCTAGTCTTATCCAAGTAAATACAAAAAGGAATAATAGGGTATAGAAAACAATAATTTAAATTTAACAATAACTTACCTTGTCCCCAACTCTTCCCTTCCACCATCCCCTATGACCTCCAGCTTTGCTAATGATTGCTACAGTCTGGCCAGCTTTAAGTGACAGCTCCCTCATACCACGAGCTGCAAAGTCATACAAAGCTGTGGCATAGCCTTCCACCTTGTACCCAGCTGGAATAACAATAACATTACTTATTAGGTAAAAAAAATACATAAATCACTCATGATGACTTTTTACTGTAATGTCCATTAATTCATTGTACTGTGGAAACATAATTCAAGCTGTATTTACTAGGCTAGCTTGTTGTGCTTTGTATAAACACAACAGAGTATTTATTTTTATTAAGCATTTTGGTATCATTGAACGAGTTAATACATCCCTCACCACTAAGCGGTTTACATGACTGAAGTACTGTAAAAGATCTTTGTAACAGCGGCAGAATGTGCTCAATATGCTAAAATGTTTTTGGTTGTCTCATTAGTAATTGTTGCCATGGAATTTCTACATTACTGTTAATTTATGCAACTAAACTAGCACTCTAGTTATGAATATCATACGAGTATAAATTATCATCTTATAGAGTAATTTTATTATAAAACCCTCACATTCATTGGTAATATAATCTAAAGTCAATTCATGTTCTTGGTTGCATAAGACTTCAGAGAGTGGAAAGTGCATTATACCAGCCAAATCAACAAATACAAGCACTTTTTGAAGATAATGTACAAGCAACAATAAAATAATAATGACAATGATAAAAGTAACATATGGAATCAGCTGACGCAGACAAATCCCTGATTTTACATCAACCCCTGACATTGACAAAGCATGAAATGATGATCAAAACAAGTACAAAATTTACAAAAAACTTTACAAAATTGAGGCTTGCCTGCATACTGTCGGTAAATGTTAAACTGAGTAATTTGCATAAATAAGAATGTGGGAGTATTATAGTACAGAAAAGCCATAATACTTTTACTCATAACTTAGGTAAGCTCAATGGCAGATTGGCAATCGTTAGGCTTGTACAGTGACTTAATTTGTGGGAGGCTCGTTTCAGTGGAAAGTGGACCCTTTGGAAACCATTATACAATAACGTAATATTTTTAGCTGGGAAAGCTTAAGAAATGCCGACTTGAAATACTTCTGGCTTGTATGATCTCCAATACTCTGGAGAGCATTGTAAATATATCTACGAATATCAATTTTTTCGTTTTTATAAATGCAGACCTCCTCCAGTTTTTGGGCGGTTTGTCATAACCCCCTTAACCCCCCAACGCTACGGGCCTGGTCATGAAGTCCCGACTTGGAAGTTGGATACTGAATCACAATCACTCCAAGAACTGGTCTGTTGTAAAAGACCATGTTCTCAATTCTCTAATAGTTCCCTTTCAAGCAGCTGCATAATACTGCAGTTTTCCGTGTGAAAGTGTAATGCAGCCAATGGGGTTACAAACTGTGCTGGCTTGTGTTCATAGCATGTGCATTAATTCCCACTATATTACCATGCATGATCATGCATACCAAACATGCATGGCATTTCAGAAAGATCAGAAATATAGGCAACAACTTTAGATATATGCTGAAGTCAAAGATCTTGGTTTTCAGAATTAAAAGTGATTAAAAAAAATGTGTAGAGCCAAGCATTATTGTGCATAGTACAGTGTGTGCATATCTCTTGTAAAAACAGTGTAGAGGTCTCATTTTGTATGGATGGACCATTTCCTGATCTATTTTTAATCAATCAATCACCATGGATTTGTACAGCACTAATATCCACAGCAGATTCAATGTTCAGCTGGTACTACGACAATGTTATTTTACTCAAATTATATGTACAGTATACTGTATTATGTAAAATAAAAGTTAGGCCTGACTACTCTAATTCCTACAAGCAGAAAAGATGATATAAAAAGACAATTGTGAAATAATATATATATAATAATTTGTATTTATACTGTTAAGGCCATTTTAAGCATTAACAAATGTGTGAGGGCAGTATTTAACTGTGCTTGAAGTTTCACCTGTTGTTTAAACTGAAACTTACAGATAACGAAACAGTTTTATCAAAATAAATAAATATCTTAAAATTTTGTACAATCTAAGCGGTATGTTGACTGAGATAAAATTAAATCAATCAAACATATTTGATGATTGCTATTTGGTTCTTCCGTGTTTCACTGAATGATTTCACTTAAGTTGGAAAAGTATCATTGAAAATGATAAGTGAAATCATACAAATGGCACAGGCTAGATAGCTGAGGACAATACAAAATATACAACAAACTGATGGAAGATACACAAATACCAAAGAGCTTCACCAGGATTTTCAACAGAAGTAAGGTATTGTGAGTCATAATGTTATACAGTAATTTATAATAATAATAATAATAATAATAATAATAATAATAATAAACTCTTGTTGATATACCCATCCAAACTTCAGTAAATGAAAGGAACATATAGTGAAAAAAATTCATCATCACAAAGAACTGAACAATCCATCTCTTGTAACAGCATGCTTTCAAATTAATAGCAAAACACTAAAATCCTAACTCACCTATTGGTAAAGCATACTGATTCATGTATTTAATATACTTCCACAAAATCTATTTTAAAGATTTTATCAAAAAACCCCAAACAGGACTCAAAATATGGTGTATTGTGTAGAGTATTAAGTAAATGGATCATACATAAAGACAGCATGCAGACAACATATAGAGCATACTACTGTACAATACAACAAGCATACAAGAAGCTACATTAATGCCTACCATCATGCACAGCAAAGTACTGCACTAATTGTGGCCTATTAGGCACTCCGTTTTCACGTCTCACCATTGATGTTTTAAAGACGTCTAAATTTCTTTGCTTATTCTTAAACCCAAAATATTTTTATATTATTTTTCGATATATTATAATTTTAACTTTTGTCAATTCATACACAATTTAGCCATGTGCAGCAGTGTTTCTTGTATAAGATAATATATATATATATATATATATATATATTTTGTTTAATTTTATCTCTTTATTTCTCACCTTTGATGTTTTAAAAATATATTTCTTTGCTTATTCTTAAACTCAAAATATTTAGCTATTTTAAGATAGTTTTTTGATATATTATATCTTTACCATTTGCAAATTCATACACAATTTAGCCATCTGTAGCAGTGTTTCTTGCATAAGAAAATATATATATTTTGTTTAATCTTATCTCTTTAATTCTGTTTTTTAAATCATTTCTTTTGTCTTGTTTTCTTTTGACTTCGATTTTGTAATGTAAATTTTTGTACTACTTTAAGTTAATATATACTTTTAAAAAGCTTTGTGAAAAACACAATTGAATTTGTAATCAAGTTTTCTTTTTCCAAATAAATTCATTATTAGTATTATATATGCATTTTACTGTAAGACAAAGATGGAGTAAATATACCTCAAATGATGGGCATGTGATGGCGTAAACAAAATTTTTAGAACTTCAGAAGGAACGTGCAAAACAATTGAAGAAACTAATGCTAGATGCTTTTATTGTTACATACATGCGACAGGTATACCATTGTCCATAGGCGTGGTATCGTTATTGGACGGACTACCAATTGATAGCCTCAGAGACGATAGCGGCCCTCTTTGCGGTGCTGCAAAACGAAGTATTCATTATCATCCAAAGAGTAAGCATGCAGTAACGAGCCAACTACCGTAATGCTCTAATTGCGACATCACAAAAACGGTAAATCTAATGCATTACACAGCCAATTTTGAACAATTATTAAACGGAGGGGAGATATAATTAAATGCTTAGTATCAGCTTTGCAAAATAAAACAATGCTTATAAATGCATATAAAACAAAACTGGCCAATATATTTTTTTGATTCAAATGTGATCAAGTTTAACTTAAGATAATGTTACTTTGATTGACATTTCCCCCGCTACTTCAAGAATAAAGTGACAATATATAACTATTGTTCAAGCGACAATATAACTGTTGTTTATGTGACAATATAACTATTGTTGAAGTGACAATAATTCACTGTTGTTCCATTTTTTCAAATCGGCTCTGACGAAACAGGATAGTGAACTCTCACATTGTGAACAGCTTGGATTTTCCCATGAAGAAATATTTTGCTTGGATGAAATCTGATGTGAATTGCTCCTTTTATATGCTAAATTTTAAGGTGTCAAGTTCGGTATATGGTTGTCTGTGGTCATACGACCTCTAATAGCTGAACTATGAACAGTATCGGAGGTTTATTTTATTAGGAAGCTTTTGATTGCTTGAGTGAATCCATTCTAGGATCAACTTGATGTGCAAATCAAAAGCTCTTTACTATCAGCAGATAAAAAATGATTTGAGCATAATATTGGATAAAAATATGAATAAATAGGGCTTGTGTTAAATAAGAAAATAATGCATCCCAAGTTTCTATGTAAACTCAACTTAAACCTCAATGCAACAAACCCACTGAAAATATTAATTAATTCATCCTTTCAACAACAAAATCCCACAAAAAGTTTATATAAAACCTGTACACACAAACCACTACCAAAACTTTCACAGTTACCCATAAGAGGAAAAGTTGTCAGCACACTTATGAACTGATGTTTAAGTGTTGTCATCACCCAGGTTGACAAAGACAAACAAAATGAAAACAATGAAATCAGAATTAACAGTTTGTGAATATTCTAATTTGTCAGCACATAAGGTGAGAATTTTTTTTTTTGTGTGTTTCGTGGACTTATTTATTTATAGATCATCAGAGGAGGGCGGGAAAAAATTAAAATAAACTTTTGTTTTCTTATTTAGCAAATGGTTTTGTCAAAAACATCCAGACGGAGGAGAAAATAAAATTTAACTGGTGAATGTAAACAGTGTTGTAATGGGATGGTTATATGCTTTAAATTTATATAATTAAGAAGAAATATACATATCCTATTTTTGTAGATTTCAAGGCAGCGTAATAAAAATAAAGAAAACTTTTCTTTTATTTTAAATATCCATTTTCTTTTGGTAAATCAACATTATTTGAGGAAGCCAAGGTGTTGAAAAAGAAAAGTGAAAAAGCAAAGAAAAAAGAGAACAAAGTGATTGACAAAATATATGTAGTACTTGGATATAATAATATACTATAAATTCCTACATTGTCTGAAATAATAAGAAACTTGACCAAAGGCCATATGGATTGATATCCTGACAAAAACCTTATCTTCCCACACCACCCACTCCCCACATGTGCATATTCTATTACCAAGACCCAATGGCATAGTTCACCATCCAGGTTCATCAGAGCCAATTTTGAAAGGTCTACAGCAGTCATCTCATAAATCAGGTGTACTGTATGGGAAGCAGGAAAAAACTGAAGTCAATGTAAAGTAAACATTATCTTACATTTAACTTGATCCCATTTTGATCTTAGAAAATAAAATATTATCAAATCCAAATAATTTACTCAAAACTTTTAAAGAATCAACACTTTCATATCAACTACAGATATTGTTCTTTTGTTGTTAGGTTGTTTTGAACTGACAAATCGTTATTACTACTTCTGCAGTTATCATAATCCCCATATACAATCCAGACTAATTTAATACCAACAACATTGTCATCATTATCATCACCAACACTTACATCAACACTACTAACAAAACTATGATTATCTCATTATAGTTATAATCATTGACAAAAAACCCCAAAAAACTTTAAAATATATTCCAAAAGCACTGAACAAAAGTTATATATTCATTTATTTATTAAAAATTCACCTTGATATTAACAATAAAGAATATTGACCAAATGTGTGTCGAGTACTGTTTATTTTTCAAATATCACTTTATTGCATAAAAGAATACACAAAAAAAGTAGACCAAGAAAACCAGGACATGGGCCAGGACATGACACCACGCAGGTTGAAAAAAAATAAAACGGAACACACATTATTAAAAAAATTAAAAAGAGAGAACATTAAAATAAAAAAAAATTCAAAATGGAGTTGTTATTGAAAAAATTGTTGGAAAAATGATTTTTTAAAAACTATATAAGAATTTCGATAAATATTAAGATTTTTTATTTTACAACATTTAAACATAGCTTGCCACCAAACCTCTTATTTTGCCATAACCCAATTATTTGTGAGCAACCCAATGAAACAAAATCAATTTTTTGAATTTTTCAATATTTATTAAGTCAGTTAATGAGTTATAAATGTTCACCTCTACAAGTAAATATGGCATTGACATAGATATAAATTATAATGAATTAATATCATAACTAACGATCTATAATTAGAACTATCTGCCCAGCACACAAAATTAATAAACCAACAATAATGAAACACCATCAAACTGAAAAACATGCACTTACCAGCACCTATCTGATTAGCATCTCTGACTGGCAACTTTAAAGTGCTGTCTAAGCCTTGGAATACATGTGCAAGGGTGTGTCTCTGGTAATATTCAATCAATTGCTGAAGATACAGAAAAAATATATACTGTATAGTATAAAAATGTGCTTAAGAATTCCATTTTATTACAAGTCTTCCAATAATAATTAAATAATAAATTGTTTATAATTCAATAAATAACTATATTGCTGCTCTGCGGAACGTCCAAACATTGGACTATACAGAGTATCATCATTGAAGTAGACAGCATATTTATATTTAATAATTTAGAGAATAAGAAAAATAAATGACAATAAAAAGATTGTACAGGTTATATTTATGTTATTCTGATTTATTTGATAAAACACCTTCAAATATACTTAGGTCCATGGGAGAGTATTCATGTTACAGCCAATCACAAATCAGTTAATCATCCATTGACTCTAACAAGTGGCAACCATCATGCTTGAACCATACATCTTTTGATTGGAAGTACTGAGACTTACCACTGTGCCAGAGGTATAAAATGCACACTTACCGGTAGAGTTGGAAATGGATGTGCGTCGACTAGATAGAACATCTTGTCTGGTGTTAATAGTACCTTCATATGCTTGACTGCTTTGTCGTATCTATAGAATATAAAAAAACAACTATATGACAGCAGTGCAATTGAAATAAACAATATTTGAAGATCAAAATAGGTAACCAAAGTGCTGCATAGAAAGCAAGGCGAAAACAGAAGGAAAAGGGATAGAAGAAAAGAAAATCAGGGTGTAACCTAGAGGTCATGGTTTCAATCCCTTGCTGTGCATTCTGCTGTGTCCTTGAGCATAACACTTTATCAGCATTGCTCCTCTCCACCCAGGAATATAAATGGGTACTGGATGTTAGAATTCAAAATGCGCCAATATACATATTTCATATGGCGAACTATGGAATTTTCCCACAGGCATTGTTCCTAAGAGTGGAGTTATAATGTGAAAAAATGCTCCGAGTGCCATATAAAATGTACATATCATTATTACTATTAATATCAATATTTCCCAATAAACTGTAACAGGAAAAGAAGTCTATTAGTGATTTTTATGATATGTGTGCTCCTTCCTCTATTGTTGCTAAGTGCATTGAGTTTTTTTTTTAAAGAATAATTATCATCATTTGCACCAAAAGTGTAGGAAGTTTCCCATCCCCTGTAAATTTGTCATTACAACCTACTTGATGCTAATAGCGTATCCCCCTTCACCTCTCTCACGAACTAAGAAGCAACCATCTTCATTTTCTTTGAGCTGTTCATTGGCACTTATTCGTTCCATTGTCCCAACATACCTATTGACATAAAAAAAGAGAGATTCTGTCATTTAGTTATTAATGAAGTATCAGGACCTATAAAATAGATATTATAATAGACAAAGATAATAGAATGAGACTAGAGGTGGAAATTAAGAGGTATTTAAATATGCAGATATATAGTAGTTTTTTAATATGCAGATATATTTAGTAATCCAAAAGAAAAGGTAATGTACAACTCTTAATATCAGGACATACAACAGTAGATTTGTTAACAGAAGACCTGCTCTAACTACTGTCAACCTGATCAACCAAGATTTAAAGCCAAGTTGGCTTTGTTTCCATTAAAAATAGTTTTCTCAAAATATTGAATAGTATGCAAATAAATAATCATATGAAAAATGTAAAAGGCCTTTTCCTCGAGGTCTTGGGTTTCAATCATTCGCTGTGCATTTGACTTGTGTCCTTCAGCAAGGCACTTCATCTATATTGTTTCAGTCTACCCAGATGTAAATGGGTACTAAAAATTGATTGGAGTAACCTGTGGTGGACCAGCGTCCCACCCAGTGGGAGTAAGGACGGAGGTTTCAATCATTCACTGTGCATTTCACTTGTGTCCTTAAGGAGGGCACTTTAATACCTACATTGTTTCAGTCTACTGTAAATGGGTACAAGCAAATTGCTGGGAGTACCTGCGGTGGACCAGCATCCCACCCAGTGGAATATCACTCTCTCATCCACTT